CATGAAATTAAACGCGGGTCCCAGTAGCAGTGAGACATTGGTTCCAAGAAGTGATGTAGGCGGTGTGACGGGAACACTATTGGTGGGTGACAGAAAGTGATAACAGTTGATAAGATCCGATAAGGAGGCCTAAGAAGGACAGAGTGATCAAATTTGTAGCGCAGGTTGCAGTAAAAGTAGGATCTACGGTCCAAGAAGTGATATACAGGGCAGGACGGGAACACTTTTGGTGGGTGACAGAGTGATAACAGTTGATAAGATCCGATAAGGGGCCTCAGAAGGGGAGGGTGATCAAATTCGTAGCGCAGGTTGCAGCAACAGTAGGACCTTGGGTCCAAGAAGTGATATACAGGGCAGGACGGGAACACTTTTGGTGGTGACAGAAAGTGACAACAGTTGATAAGATCTGATAAGGGATCCTTAGGGAGAGAGTGATCAAATCCGTAGCGCAGGCTGCCCAGTAATATTAAAGGCAGCGCCCGCGTTCAAATTTAATGAGTATGCGGCTCAGGTAGTAACAGCGAGGTAGCAAGAAGCCTATTAGTGAAGAAAAATCAAAGAGAAAACACGCAAATGCCCTAGAAGGAGTTTCATACCGAACAACGGTTGTACGTGCTTAAGGCGAAGAGAAGGAGTGATTGCACGAGTTTCCACTTGTTCATATCAGCTGTTTTCCTTTATCACCTCACTCTCACCACTCCACGTGGAGAGAAGCAGCAATGGAACAACCGCACCATCAGGCAACCATTAGAAATGAAGTTGGGTGGCGTGGTCGGCACGAAACTAAGTGGCGTGGGAGCGTCGGCTCTTTGCGGGCGGACGCGCTGTTCCGTCGCACTTTTGGGTTGCGAAACATGCACGTCAACCATCCTCATAGGGGGAGCTACAAGATCCAGAGAGGGCGTGAAAACAACAAATGAACACTGGGCGCTTCTATTAGGTTGTCCCAAAAGTTCTGGGACACTTTTTGAATCTCGTATCAGATTTTTCCGCAGCCATTTCGAGATCCAGTTATGTGGTCTATGGGAAGTGTGTGAGGTAAGCATTCCACAGCTTCTTCACCGTCCCTCGCAGTCGCTGTTCTCATATGAAAAACGGTAATTGAAATTCATCATTTTCGACACACTTCGCTATATGAATCTCTACCAAGCCACAACGTGGTTGGAGCCATAAGCGGCATTTCCCTTATTTAGATCTTGATGTTAGCTTCCACAGTACGGCTTTGGAATGGCTCAATTGCTTCTGCTTTAGTGACTTCTATCCGGGTGAAAAACTTTCGTCCAAGGAGGCCACCTGCCTTGGATTTGGACCTACTGTGTTCCTTGATTAAAACCAATTCGTACGAATCAACTTGCTACCTAGTCCTTACACTTGACTGGTCCCAAAGCACAAATGAGAGAAGGCCTCGCTCCTCCATGTTATCACCGCGCATTTCGTCTGCAATTTTCTACCTTGAATGCAGTGAAGGTTCTACGACCGCCTACTAGATCTTCTGACAGTTTTGAGAGGTCTTGGCCTTGGTTTATCGTGGAACGCGCTTTTAAATCCCGGGTTTATACCTCATCTACCCATTGCCAGGAACAAGAGTTCTCTAAAGGAAAACCAGAGAATTTTGGGGAAACTCCGGAGAAAAAGACAGGAATCGGTAAAATTGAAGAAGATGGTGGATAGAATGGGGTGGGTGAGAGGGTCGTACCAAAATTGTTAGGGGGTCGATTTTGCAAAATTTTGCGCAAGGGCAGGAGGTGCCCTGATTATGGTACCACTAATCTAGACGTATATTTGTCATAGATGTCAAAGCACGTCATTAATAAAGATGGAGCTTATAATCGTGATCGTTAAAGACACGTCCGCGATAATGGCTGCAGGTAGTGGTGCTAAAATATGGGAGAGATGCTGCCAAGTGACTCCTCTGCGAAGGGGAAATGCTAGAAGGAACGTCAGAAACGCCTGTAACAGGACTCAAACAATTGTACGGGTGAAAGTACAAGAAACCGCGGGTTGGAACAGTTTCAGCAGGTTGACTCCCACTCTTCCGCTAGCAGCGTTCTTCGCTGCAGCGTTCTTCGCTGGAAGATGGCCTCTGGAGGCGGAGTCTGGAAGCGGAGTCACTGGAAAAAGGAGGGAGTCACTGAAGCAACTTCGCGCTTCAACTCCTTGTCTTTACAACACTGCGTCGCGAAAATGGCACAAGGTTGCCTACTGCGCTTCACTCTACCCTTTCCACACAATTTTTTTGTTTTTTCATCGGCCATGGCAGACTATTCCTCTCAGCGCCAAATTTCGCGAATACCTGAATGTTTCTAACGCATAAGGCCCATATCGTGCATAAAGTGCGCAGCCGTATAGGGTATTTGACTCTTGCCATCTCTAAGTATATATAATCCGCTAAGTATGTCAAAAGGTGTATGTGTGTGTGTGTGTGTGTGTGTGCGTCCGTCTGTCTGTCACGAAATTCATAGCACCCGTCGCAGTAAGCGTGGGAACTTGGATCCGAGAGGTGATATAGGGTGTGGGACGGGAACATTATTGGCGGGTGACAGAAAGTGATAACAGTTGATAAGATCCGATAAGGGGCCTCGGAAGGGAAGGGTCATCAAATTCGTAACGCAGGTTACAGCAACAGTGGGACCTTGGATCCGAGAGGTGATATAGGGTGTGGGACGGGAACATTATTGGCGGGTGACAGAAAGTGATAACAGTAGATAAGATACGATAAGGGGCTTCGGAAGGGGAGGGTCATCAAATTTGTAAGGGAAGGGAAGGGAGGGTCATCAAATTTGTAACGCAGGTTACAGCAACAGTGGGACCTTGGATCCGAGAGGTGATATAGGGTGATATGATAGTGATATGGGACCCGAATATTATTATCGGGTGACGGAAGTTCTCAATTCTCGACTGTGCCGGCACGCTGAGCGGTCGGTTTGGCCTCTGCTCTGTCGTCTATCGTCTGCTCTGTCGGATATCGCCTCTATCGCTTTCAAGGAGCTTCTAGGGAATATTCACTGTATAACTACCTAATTACTGCTTCACGCTAGCTGCAACGTAGGGCTACTAAAGCCTTGTTACTACTCCAATCTGCTTGGTCTGTTTATTTATTTGGCGAAACAGGATCGATCTGTCATCGATCTATTGCTATTGCTGGTCAACAAAAGCGAGTTTCTTTGCGGCACGAAACGAACACTTTGTACTTCAAGCCGCCGTATCAGGTGTATAGTTCCTATTTCATTTTTTTAGTATGGAGACCCCGTTGGCTACAGAGCCGCGTTCACTTCAGGTTCGAAATGGAAAAAGGCACCGTCTGGACGTTTCTAGTCCCCAGTTCGACGACCACCTAAGGCGTGCGATGCAGTTGATCGCGGACGATCGATCCCTCCCTCCACACTTGAAAGTCAGCCATCGGGTATCTCTTCGAGATGAAAAGCGAACTTAATGATGTCTTGGAGAGAAACAGGCAGTTGATGGAGGAGAACAGTCAGGTCAAAGAAAGGAACAGTGAGTTGGAAAACGAAATAGTCTTATTGAAATCTCAAATTGCTACACTTAAGCAATCTCTTTCCACTAAGTCTCCTTCACAGTCAAATGAAATTAGGGATCTTTCTTGCCACTATGACCTATGACGATATTGAACGTAAACGCTCAGTGATTAGTTGCTGGTGTCCAGGAATGTGTTTCTCCGATTGCATCCGTTAGGGTTTCCTATGATCTTAATTGTATTCGTCGCATCAACGATTTCCTCGGAATAGATTGCCAGCCGATTTGCGTTTATAGAATGGGGCGCTATATATCTGGTAAACCGCGCCTTCTTAAAGTAGTATTTCCGTCCTCGTTTTTTTCGTCTTTACTTCTGAAGAGAGCACCTAAACTGAGATTCTTCTCCGAGAAAGGAATTTTTGTGAGACGTTCTTTATCTTTGGCTGAGCGACAAAGCTTAAGAAATTCATAGGAATGGTAGAAGAGATACCGATATCGTGTGTGATTCGCATTCTTCGCAATCATCCTCAGTTTCCGTTGATGTGAGTCATTCGAAAACTCAAGACATTGTACCTTCATGCTCCTTTCCCGTTCGTGATGGTTCAAATGCAGATAATTTAAACATGTAAAGGTCCAAGGGGATTCTCACCCAAGCATCTTTTGCTTTGTTACCAATATCAGATCCATAGTAAAGAATTCGGATGCGCTCGCATTACTTATGAAGCAACATTGTCCCGATATAATTGCAGTAACGGAGACATGGCTTAACCCCACTATCACCCTACAGTCTCTTGTTCACGTGGATATTTCTCCTTACACTGTTCTGCGATGTGACCGCCTACTTAAAGGAGGTGGAGGAGTCGCATTAATTGTCAAAAACATTTTTTCTCCTATAACTATTTTTTCGGAATCGGTAGCGAACGCATATGAGGTACTGTGCTGTGATTTGTCAGTCAACCTGTCCACGCTTCGTCT